CCCCTCACGCGATCCGAGTTCAGACGCCTCCCCGACATATCCCTGGCGTGGTAGAAGTCACATTGTCCTATAAGTCTAAGCAGTTCTGCAAGGGAACTCCTGGAAGATTCATTTACACGGGTAAGCGTGCGTTTGTATTGGCTACAACCTGTCCCGCTAGGGCCAGTCGTGGTGGAAGCACTCTACATGCTGGGCTGTCGTTCATTACAAGCTGCCATGAGTTCTGCCCCAATGGCTGAGTGTATCTGCCTGGATCTCCTCCGGGAAGGGGGACTGAAAAGGAGGAGACCAAGGAGAGAAGTAGGTAGGGAGGGATCATGGTGACTGGCACTGTATCCATTCCTAGACAAAACAGGAAGGGCACAAAGCAAAGCTATCCAAGGGCATGGAGAGCATCCGACCCAGGAGTCTGTCTACACTACTGAGAGAAGTCTGTTAAATGCAAGCAGCCTGTGATCTCCAGGGACAGCACCTCCTACCACAGCCCTGCCTCAGAACCAGGCTGGTTTGCTCGCATCTACCCTGCTCACTACTGTGTTTGTCTCTGCAATCTGGGAATTGTGGGCAGCTGCCCCACACCGCCACAGCAGCCATTGCCATGGTTAGAGAATGGGAATGGCTTGTGCATTTTAGTGCATTTTGGGATTCTTCTCCCTCTGGGATCTGTGTGTGTGGGAGGGCGGGGAAGATGGGCTGGTGTTAAAGATGCTGTTAAGAGGTCCCACACAGTTAGGAACCTTGTTAACCCATAACATGTGTGGACCAGACCTCTACATAAACAGTCCCAGAGGGGTAACCATGTTAGGCTGTAACTAACGAGCGGTCGTGTGGCACCATAGAGACTAATAAAAGTAGATAGAAGCATTAGCTTTTGTGGGCAAAACCCACTTCATCAGATGATGAGCATGCGACCTATGAAAGAGGCTGAGGGATTTGGGCTTGTTTAGTCTGCAGAAGCGAAGAGGGAGGGGGGATTTGAGAGCAGCCTTCAACTACCTGAAGGGGGGTTCCAAAGTGGCTGGAGAGAGGCTGTTCTCAGTGGTGGCCGATGGCAGAACAAGGAGCAATGGGCTCAGTTGCAGTGGGGGAGATCTAGGTTGGACATTAGGAAAAACTGTTTCCCTAGGAGGGTGGAGAAGCCCTGGGATGGGTTCCCTAGGGAGAGGGTGGAATCTACATCCCTAGAGGTTTCTAAGTCCTGGCTTGACAAAGCCCTGGCTGGGCTGATTTAATTGGGGTTGGTCCTGCTTTGGGCAGCGGGCTGGACTCGATGACTCCTGAGGTCTCTTCCAGCTCTATGATTCTGTGATTCTATGAGCTGGAGCAGAAATAACAGAAACCAAGTTATTTATAAGGGGAAATCCTCAATATAAGGCTGATGTAGGATGGAAGTTAAGTACGTGTTAAGAAGAGCAGAAGAGAAACATGGGGCCAGGGTGGCAGTTGGTGGAAAGTGACTATTTCAGTTGACACCTGCTGAGAATCTGAGCCCCAGTGTTAAACAGTTTGGCTGAAAAGCCTTCTGCCTCTCCATCTTCACTCTCTTGACTGTCAGCATGCCACAATTTTACTGGTTCTTCAGTCACCAAAGTGTTGTTTCTTGGCTAGATGAGGCGTATGTTGCAGATGGAAAGAACCTAACTAAACAGCGGCAGGACACCACTGTCCAAGTTTTTCTTTGGGCGAGAGGTTTCAGGTCCTCTTTACACACCGCAAAGAAAGGCTTAAGCTCCATTTGTTTCCAGGTCCCCTATAACTGTCTGCAGTGTTGTAACCATGTTGGTACCAGGATGTTAGAGATACAAGGCCGGTGAGGTGACATCTTTGATTGGACCAACTTCTGTTGGTGAAAGAGATGAACTACAGAGCTACACGGAGGTCTTCTGCAGGCCTGGGAAAGATAATCACTTGTATTTAGTATTTAATTGAGACATGATGGGCGCCTTTCTCAGACCAGATGAAAAGCGCTAGATAGATCGAAAGCTATACAGCTGTATAGCTCTTCACCAACGGAAGTTGGTCCAATCAAAGATGTCACCTCCGCGTTCTGCGTTTAATAATGTCATTCTAGTAGAAAAGAGGCATATTTTGGTCTTTCTGAACAAAAGGAGATAACTGGGTGATATAACTCTAAATTGCTCCGAGTTATGTTTCCTAATATTTTATTGTTTTATTTGTGCCGTGTTCAGGTTAACGTTTACAATGCTTTGTTTTTCATTCAATAAAGGAAGGGAATAGAAAATGAAGCAAAAATTACAGAGATTCAAAAGAAAGATTCTGTAAATTGAGCAAATGTAATAAAAATGTGATATATTTTATCTTGACTGACCAGGGCCAGATCAAGATGTGCTGAGGCCATAAGCTATGTTAAGTTTGAGGCCCCAGAGCAATACCAAAAATGTGCGTTATTCTAAAGGACAATTAAAATAGAAATAATTAAGTTTTATTTTTGCATATATACCAGTACATCGGTGAGGATGCAACTAAAAACTGGTAATTTTTAAAATTTAGAAGCCCCTCATAATCTGAGGCCCTAAACTATAGCTTATTTGATCTTTTACCTCAAATAGTCTTTGTTGCTGAGTCCCTTTATTGACTTCTTAAACTGAAACCTGGCTTCCTTTTTTTTAAAAAAAAGGAAAACCCTTCTCTAAGAAAGAAAACCCCTAAACTAAAATAAAAACAATTAGTGTATTCTGACCTTCAGAAATGCCTTCCAGCCCTTTAAACAAAATGCAGGTTTAGTGCATGCCTGCCGATTAGTTTTAGTTAATTGAAAATTATAGGATTGACCCAAGAGGAAAATTTTGTTTGCACTCCAATCACTTTTACAAATTAAGGAAAATTACCACAATTTTGTTTAGCTAAGGTTTCACACTGAGTTCACGAAATTAGCACAGCCATCCCAAGAAAGTCAGCACTTTGTTAGTGAGCAGTAGGGAGAAAAAAAGAAGTTTACGGTATGTACAAATGAAGCATAGAAAAAGCTATGATGCTTTATAGAAGTAGGCCAAATGTTTTTAATTAGGATTATTGGTTCTGTGTAAGTTTTGAAGAACAATCAAACTAGCAGATTAGCTGTTTCTTTTAAAGCTAGAATTTCTTGCCATTCGTTTTTCCCATGAGAACTTGTTTTAACTCCCACATAGCACGATTTTTTTTTATTTTATTTTTTACAAGACTCATTATGGGCTGACAGGAAATGGACCAATTGGAAGTTCTGATACTGTAACATTCCACAGCATCATTCCAATAAGGGCGAGTTTTTCACAGTGGTCTGCAGTGTACTCAGTGCTCTGGAACTTATTACAAAACCCGCAGAGGCCAAATGTTTTCTCAGAGGAGTAAGGCCTCTGTTTTGGCCAAAAATATTTCGGCATCATTTGCTGCTCTTGAGAGCAACCAATAAATAAATAAATAAAGTGGGGGGTGGGGAGAGGGCAGTAGAAAGAAATAAGGGGATGCAGGAGAGGGAAAAAATGGAAAGCAATTGTGGGCAGTGCAGGAGCTGGTCAAGCATTGCTTTCTTTCTAGTGAGAATGTTCCTGCATGTTATGGCCCTGTTTTGTGGTCAGTTCTCATTTAAAAGAAATTATTTTCAATCAGCATTCAACAAAATATCCCCTCAAGCAACCTGGCTATAAACTGCGTTGTTTTTTTTTTTTACTGTTAAGTACTTATGTTTTTAGAAGAAAATACCAAGTGCCCTATTAATTTTAGCCTACCCGCCCTCTTTAACTACAAACAACTTAGTAACCTGATCTTGGTGTCCATGTGCCATCCAGGAATCCGGGTCACATGCATATGGAGAAATCCAAGTTTTTAAAAGTATTTTAGCAAGAATAAACCCGTCTTGACTGTGCTTACAGGGAAATGCACTTTTTTATGTTCTATCTGTTCAGTGTGTCAAAAGCAGACAGCTCCAAGAGCAATTTTGGCTTCGATTTCATGCTTTGAAGCTCCCAAGCAGTTTATTAGGAGCCAGTTTGTAGAAAATACCAAAGTTCACACATTTTACAACTAAGCCATCAGGTTCTAAATAATGTTTTAGATGATCTAGACGGTGCTTGGTCCTGCCGTGCGGGCAGGGGACGGGACTCGATGACCTCTCGAGGTCCCTTCCAGCTTTAGGATTCTATGATTTGCTCTATGAAGAGGACTAGCCAGACCAATTAACAAATTGAGGAAATGAACCCGTGACTCATCGAGCGCTTCTCTCTATAGATCTTCCAGTGCATGTTGGATGCATTAATGAATTTGGCCAAATGTCGCACGCTGAGTCAGGCGAGCTTTGCTAGCTTCATTTCACAGTTGGGAAACCGAGGGTCAGGCAGCTTCCAATAAGGGACTGACGGCCCTCAGCATTTGTCAAGGTGATTCAGAATGTAGGTGGCTGAGGATGAAAACGGATATTAATGGGTGATATACAGATGGGGCCGTGATTTTTTTTTTTGCATTAAAAATGTATGCATGGCAGGCAGTGTGCTTTTCACAGATGGATCGCTCAGAGAATGGTGCTACCAAGCCTGGTGATTTACACACGCTGCGGTTTTACTGGGAGTGCATGGGTGTAAATGAAAGCAGAAAGTCACTCACTGCATACAATAAAGGGCAGATGGAAGGCCCATAAAATTAATGATTCTTTGTCTCCTACCAACTGCTCAGTGAGTTTCCATTTTGCAGCTTTTCTTCCCAGACAATCTCCTACAGCAAGAGACTGAGTCGGGAGCCTTGGTGGCTTTGTCACAGAGTGTCTGCCTGGCCTGAAGCGTTTACCTGGGTTCTCTTTAACAGCCTTCCCCTCCGGAGTTTGGTGCTGTCACGCCCGGGGGTGGCTGTACAACCCAGGGGTCAGAACAGAATCAGAGAACACTAGAACTGGAAGGCACCTCGAGAGACCAAGCCCCGTCCCCTGCCCTCGTGGTAGGACCAAGTGTAACCACCTGTAGGTGTATTTGAACCTGGGACTTCTGGGCTTAATTTAGGAGTCTGTGCAGTTTGAACTATAAAGCCATCTGCCTCCCAGCTCAGGTTGTAGAACTCATTCATTCTTATCTCGTTCCGTAAATGGTCCAAGTGCCACTACATTGAACAGTGAGCCACACCCCCTTGGGTTACAC